ATAACACCCAGTTGCTTCCCATTCTCCCCCACCTTCTACAAGCCATGGCCCAGCGGTATGGTGAAAGGCACATGGCTTAAAGAAATGAAATCAGATTCTGGATTTCCTGCCTTTTATTAGCTGAGTGACATGGACCAGTCCTTCAACTTCTCTGAGCCTCTTTCCTCTTGCATCAAGTATGAGCGTCAGAAGAACTAACCACCAGGTGTGTTTGGCTCCCAGTGCAGGGGGCAGTCAGCGCCAGTGGGTAAACCATGGCATCCCGCCAGCATCCCAGAGAGCCGTTTTGAGCTTCAGATGCAAGGGTCCCTCTCAGGGCCCACTGGGAGAATTTCTTCTCCCAGTCAAGCGTGACAGGTGCCATATCCAGAATACCTGTCTCTCCTTAACACTGTTTCTGTCAAGAAACTGCTGGGAGCTTTTGAAGGTGTTCCTCCGAAGACTTCACAAGCCCCCCGGACCCCTCCCCCAGTCAGGAGGAGCCCGCGCTGTGGGGTATAGGGCTCACAGAAACACAGTTCCAAGCCTGTGGTTTCCTCCTCTTTGGTGGATAAAATTCTAGGAACCCTATATCAGGCAGGGCCACCAGCGCCCATATCAGGACTTTGTCCAAATTAAAAGAGGTCCCCTTCCTTCCAGCAGCTGATGCCGAGTTGGCAGATGGAGCCTGATCTGGGTTGCGCCCCCTAAGCCAGCCCCCTAGACCAGTCCCAGTCTAAGGCAGAGCGAGGGACCAAAGTGTGTCCCTTAGGATCATTTTCTACTGGCCAAGAGTGAATGGATAAAAACTCCCCAGTGGGGACAGAACACTTTTTCTACATCAAAGCACCAAATCTAAGCTGTTTGTTTGAAATCTTTGTACAGCCAGATAGCAGTCGTCATATGGTGAAAATAACATGTTTTCATAGAATTTGGGCTTATCCAGGTGAGAGAATTCTAGAGCTTTTGTTGAGTCATATAATAAGGGGCCGAGCAAGAGGTTTCACGGACGCAGATGAGGAGAGAAAGAGGTGGTGCCATAGAGCTTCCTCATCTGGGCAAGGTTGTGTGAGAATTGGAAAGTTTGCAACCGCAGGCCCAGCATCTTGTGATCATGGCACACTTTGATATTCATATTTTTGCAGCGTACCTGACATACTTTACACTGAACGGGTTGGCAACACTGGCCTCATGACCGGAGATCTGTAACAGCATCTTGGAGTCTTCAGAAGCACCTCCCTCTGTAGATTGCCTGCAGCCCTGTGTGGCTGTTGGAGGATTGCTGACTGCCCTGCCAAGGCATCACAGAGATCATACACATCTTAAGTCAACGTTCTTGCAGGTGCCAGGACACAAGAAACCTTTTTTTGGGGGGGCGGGGAGGGCTCCAGCTTCATATTCTATTAGGCCTCTTACACATTTTTCATCATGACACACCTGCTCAGTGATAGCAAAAACATGCACTGCATGCATTTTGCATTTCGCAGCAATTTCCAGAAAGAGTTGGTGGTTCTCGTGTGGCTCTCTCAGGCCACGGGTCTGGCCCACGCTCAACCCCCCATGCATGGTGCTCTCTTCCTGGGAACACAGAATGCCGAGGTGTTGGTTTGCTTTAATAACTCGTTCCTCCAGATGATGTGGTTCTTCAAAGTTTAAAGCTTATGCTTGGCGGGCCTAATAAGAAGCTAGACTCCATTTTAAGAGATCTTAATGGAAAAGACAAACGCATTCAGCAGTCCCAGGGGAACTTGGCCACAAGGCCACTATTGAACTATTGCGGCTTGCCAAAGCAGCGTTTTCGTAATTCCTGGAGAATCACCCCAAGATTAAGGAAATGATGTGAAAAGCACTTTGTTAGCGGTAAGATCAACATATACTGGTTGTAAACCACCCCATTCCCACCATCCAAGTCAACTGTGAGCTCCTTTGAGGGCAAGGATTCCATTCTTTGTCTTGATAGTTTCGGTGCTGACGTAGAACCTGGCCCATAGTAGTGCTCAATAAATGGTCACAGCTTGGTAACTCCGCAATGGGCAGGATTTTAGTCGAGGGAGGGGGGAACGCTCCCAGTTTGGGGGTTTAGGTTAGAGTAGGCTTTTGGAAATTTTTTGACTGTGTAAAAACACATTTCACATTATGACACAGAATACACACCCACACACTCTCCCACACACATACACTCTCACATGCTCTCTCTTACACACACACATACACACAAACACACACACACACCCCTATCTTGAAAACAAAATACTTATTCGTACTTTGAAATGCTCCTCAGAGTATCTTCTACACTGTTCTATTCCCTGTTTCCCTTAGCTTTTCTTTTCTAAAATGCTGTTTGCCATCCACTACCTTGATTTCATGGCTGGTTATGGCCTGCAGTCTGGAAACCCCCTGGCTGCAGAGTGATTGGAGGCACCTGCGCTGAGACTCAGGCGACAGGGCTGGGCGGACAGGAGTCTAGAAAGCCCTGTTTCTCTGGATCTTCCTTCCTGTCTCAATACTCCCAGTCTCGGACCTCAGGAGAGAGCCCTCTGGAGGGCTGAGCTCTGGAGGCGTCACTCAGTAAATGGAGCCAATTATTATGCAGAAACAGGGCTGGGGGAGGGGACAAGGGGGTTAGTGTTCGGTAGGCACAGAATTTCAGTTGTGCAAGATGAAAAGCGTTCTGTGGACAGATGGTGGAGATGGTTGCATAGTATGAATATACTTAATGCTACAGAACTGTACGCTTAGAGACGGTTATGATGGTAAGTTTTACATTGTGTGTATTTTGCCACAATTGAAAAGTATATATATGTGCAGACAAGCCTGTAGTGTTCCCCTGGAGATGAAGCCTCAGGGCTGGAAGAGTCCTTACGGGTCATTTAGACCAATCCCCCCTGGAAGCTCAAGCCTCTTGTGTCGAATTTCCCCAAAATGGATTACAGTCACCAGTGACAGGGGCTCATCACTCAAAGCAGGTTATTTTATCTTGGAACAATTCTGGCTTTTGACTGCTCAGAGGTTCTCCTTTAGATGAGCTGGAATTTTCCCCATAGCTTCCACAACGGAACCCACTTCTACCCCTCAGGGTCACTGAAACAACCTAAATTTCCTCTTCCGCATAATATGCATTCAGTAAGTTTTCAGTGCATCCTAAGTACCACTCTCTGATCTAACAAGTCTTCTCTTTCCAGCTACACATTCCAAAATCTGTCAAACTGTCCCGTCATCACCCCACCACTCTTCTGAAGGGACCGATCAGCTGCTCTCCCTCTCACAGTGTCATCTCTAGAAACGAAAACACGACTCTAACCAATGCCCTGAAATTTCCCATCACGAAATGGAGAATTCTAATGGCAGCTGTAGGCTGAGAGGAGAGTGTTGGTATGGCAGGCTGATGAGGAAGATATTTGAGGACAACGCTGACGTATTATGTGGAAGATTAGATCTGTCCTCTGGGTGCAAGATTCAAAAAATCTCATGGATCCAATCCTTAGGTCTGAAGGACAGATGCAAGATCCAATCAACCGTGACTCTTACCTCTAATATATTCTGTTCCGTCAGAACCCCATAAACCACCACCCAGCTCTCCTTGCACTGAAATGCTTTATTACATGTAGCGTGGCCCAGGACTGGGTGTTTGCCAATATGCAAATTTACATAATGTACCATTTCCTCCTTTGACTCTGGAACCCAAACAAATGGGTCATGTTCCCAAAATTCCATAAAAGTACAATTCTGTATAGTGACCACGGCACTCCTCAAGAATTTCATTCTAAATAGGGAGAGGGATTTCTCTGCAGAAAAATATCTCAGCAGCTTCCTTCTACTATATAATTAAATTCCCCCTAGATACTTTGCAGTTACGTTTTATAGCTTATTTTGAATGTTCATATTTTATCAGAAAATTATAATTTTCCTCTAAACACGAGTTTTTACCAGGCTTTTGAATTATGATGGCTGGCTTCATATTTCAACTCAAAAACAGTGAAAAGAAATAGTGAAAGTGTCCATCAAACAAGGTGCCAGAGAGTGCTTGGTCTTCCAATCCCCCTGCCTTCCTGTACCCTGGCGCCCTGGGTCTGGGGGCACTCCGACCAGCTTGCAGGACCCCAGTTTGGATGACCCGGTAGGAGTAGCTGGTTTCAAAATGGAACAGAATGGCCTGGGAAGAAGGGTGAGGAGTGTTTTGCGGGCTTTCAGACTCAGTTTGAACAGCTCCCCTCAGAGCCACCTTCCTGGCCAGTTAAGCCTATCATTCTCTCACCTGGCTCTATTTCTCTCTCATAACACGCATATTTGTTAGTGTAGGGGCTTCCTGTCTGCATCCCCAAGAGACTGTCAGCTCCTTGAAGGCCACTGCAATGCCTTCTTTATTCGACACTGTGTAGCCAACTCCTTGCACATATGAGACCCAACAAATGTTTGCTGAATGAGAAAAATGATTGAATAGAAGAACCCAGAAACACAGTGAAGGAGTCCTCTTCGAAGCAGCTCTGTTGAGACGTACTTCTGAAAGATTCTCTTGCTTTTCCCTGTCCCTCCCTCCACACTCCCCACGTTCTCTCCCCCTCCATACCCGTGTCCCCAAAGAGCCAGAGACACGAGTCTGTCATCTCCCGGCCCAACGTAACCAATCCAGCCACAAAAAATCTCTTGCCACCAAGTTCAGACATGAACCTCAATGCCAGGAAAGACAAGCCCAACTCCAAGAAGCCTTCTGTGTGGTCCTCAGGGAACTCTCGCTCCGCCGGGGCGGCAGGACCCATAGAGTCCTGAGTCACTTGTATGGTGAGGACCGCATTGTAAGAAGGTAGAAGTGGGTCAGCAGAGCCTACCCCCGGGCCCTCACCCATGAATCTTTGGACCATTATCTGTGAGCCTTTACATGCTTCCTCCATATCCTTGGGAGAGAATTCTCCTAGTTTGGGGGTCATTGGTGGACTTTAACCAGAGTGTTTGTCATAGACCCGTATTGTCACCAAGGTGGCTTTGCCTCCCTCGTGTCCTAATCTTCTGCTTGTTTCTCTCAGGTGTCAGGTTTGGAGTCCAAACCAGTAATGGACAGCATCCTGTTTTTACGTGACAGAAGATGGGAAGAGGTCAGAAGTGTCCTGACTTCGGCTTTCAGTCCTGAAAAGCTGAATAAGGTAAGATGCAGGGAATGCAGACTCACCCCTTACGGTTCCTTCTCTCCAAACCATGATGGAGAGCGGGTTTCCGTGGCACCCCTTGTCCACGCAGCACTTTAAAATGCCCTGCCCGGGGCGCCTGGGTGGCTCAGTTGGTTAAGCGACTGCCTTCGGCTCAGGTCATGATCCTGGAGTCCCGGGATCAAGTCCCACATCGGGCTCCCTGCTCAGTGGGGGGTCTGCTTCTCCCTCTGCCCTCTTCCCTCTTGTGCTCTCTGTCTCATTCTCTCTCTCTCAAATAAATAAATAAAATCTTTAAAA